AGGTGGAGGTGGAGGTGGAGGTGGAGCAGCAGCAGGAACATGAGCATGAGCACGAACACAGTACTCAGAGAGCCCAACACCCCTTAAAAAAGGAATATACCTTAACATATCAGGGGGCTTCCTATTATGATTTAAGCTATATTCCTCAATGAAGGGGTCTTGGGCTCTCTGGGCACTCATGTTTAGGAGCTTGGGGTTTTAGAGGCCAGGGGCTTCAGGATTACAGGGTTTTTCTTTAGGCTCCGCCCTAAACGCTAAACCCCTAAACCCTAAACCCTAAACCCTAAACCCGAAACCCTAGAGGTAGAGGTTTCTTGCTGTGCATGAAGTACCGGGGTTTTCGGGGGTTCACCCGGAAGCCGAAAATGACAAGCCTTCCAACGCAGGAGAAGTACGAGGCCCATTCCGGCATGTATCCACGGTTTGTGGGTTAGGGTTTAGGGTTTAGGGTATTCTGGTATGTATGAAGGGTTTTTTGTGGGTTCAATGGGAACAGAATATCGCTCTGAAGCTCGATATGATACCACATAGCTCTGGTACAAGTTATGCAAGAAACCCTGTGAACTGAAGCTTCTATTGAGATTTTGTATCGTTTGCTGTTGCGAGACTTGCTTCGGTTGAGCTTCGGATGTTGCTTGCCGTCGCCCAGGGCTTTAACGGTAGTGGGTTGAGGGCTTGGGCTTCATAATACAGGGGCCTGAATAAAGACCCAGACAATTAAGAGGGTTCCTGATGCAAACTATAGTAAAATGTACCCCAAAGCCCTATTGACTTATTAAGGCCCCTTACATTATGCAGACGGATCTGGGTTTGGGCCGTTTTGGTCGCAGAGATTGCTGCTTAAAAGGCAAGGATGACGGGGCGCAAGGGGACTAGCGATGTGAGTTGCAGTTTCCGATGAAGTGGCGACGCCGCAGCATTTCACCGAACGTCATTCCTGCGGTCGGTACTCAGAATAGTATGTGAGGCAGGGTCCTAGGAAGCTAATTTGGGCTCCAGGTTTCGAAACCTCAAAATCTCCAAGCCCTGTGAGAGGCTTCTCTCCGAGTTACTGTAACAGACGAGTTTCAGAAAATTCGGGTACCTTATTTGGGGGGTCCTTATAATAGGGAACCTCCTATTTGGGGTACTATATTAGGGTCCCCTATTTTCGGAGACCCCCACATGTCTTTGCTGGCCGAGTGGTCGAAGACGTCTCCTGGCTGTAGCTTAGCCTGAACAGCGGAACGCTCAGACGTATTGGGATATGGACGCAGCCAGCTTGTGGGCATAATTTAGGGGCCTTACTAATCAGAATAGGGTTTTGGGGGGTCCTTATTATATTCATAGTATAATATATCCCAAAACCTTTAGCAAACAATTAAGGCCCCTATATTATGCTTACAGCCAGGCTGACGTTCTTGTGGCTAGGGTTTAGGGTTTTAAGGTGTTAGGGTTTTAGGGTGTAGGGTGTAGGGTGTAGGGTTAGGGTTTCGGGGCTTAGGGTTCAGGGTCTAGAGTTTCGGGTTCAGGGTTTCGGGTTCTAGGGTTTAGGGTTTGGGGTTTAGGGTTTAGGGTTTAGGGTTTAGGGTTTAGGGTTTAGGGTTTAGGGTTTAGGGTTCGGGGTTCCCATGGTGTGCAGAGAATACGGAGGCCAGGGTCCAAGCATGCCCGCATGCATTACTTGTCTGTCACCTATAGTGCGTCTAGGAGAGATCCACCTCCAACGCTAAACCTAAGCCACACAGCCTAGCCCTAAACCCCAAGCCCAACCCTAAGCCCCACCACCATGATAGCTAAGAAGCTCTAGACCGCACAAGCCTTTTCAGCCCTGAAAGCTCTGAGCCCTAAACCAAACCCTAAATCCTAAACCCCCTTAGCCAGCCCTGAAACCTTGAATCCTTAGCCCAGAAATCCTAAATCCTTAGCCCTGAAACCCCAAACTCTAAACCCTAAGCCCTAAACCCTAAAGTCTAATTTTAAGCCCTAAACCCCTGAATCCTTAGCCCTGAAACCCTAAACCCTAAGCCCTAAACCAAAACCCGGGAAGTCAGGTCGCCAGCCTGCGAACACGGCACCGGGCCTTACGGCCTTGCAGGGACATCTCCTGGCCGTTCTTCGGGTGCCGGGCTCCGGAACCGTGAAGGGCTTTGGGTGTGGGGCTTGGGGCTGAGGGCTTAGGGTTTAGGGAGGGCTTAGAGTTTACCTCAAAAGAAACCCTACCTTTTTCCTAGGGTCCCTGCAAGTTCCATATTTGGGTCTAGAATACGAAGTTACAAAAAAAGCAGGTTTTGGTGGGTTTAGGCAGGGTGCGGACCGAAACTTTATGCTGTAAGAATCTGACGAATTAGGGTCTAGAATACGAAGTCAAAAAAAAGCAGGTTTGGGGAGGTTAAGGCAGGGTGCGGACCGAAACTTTATGCTGTAAGAATCTGACGAATTAGGGTCTAGAATACGAAGTTACAAAAAACAGGTTTGGGGAGGTTAAGGCAGGGTTCGGACCGAAACTTTACGCTGTAAGAATCTGAAGGAACCCGAAGGAATGCTCGAATTGCTATAGGAGCCTAGACAACTACAGTACCTACACTATTTTGGGGGGCTCCTTATTTTACTTATAGTATACTGGGCCCCAAAACCCAAAACACTAAATCCTAAACACATAATTAAAGGCCCCTACATTATTCAGGTTCCTATATACTAGGGCCTTGGGTTTTCGGGATCTTGGTTCAGGTTTCGGGCTTTAAGGTCTCTTGGTTTCAGGGTTCAGGGTTTGGGATTTAGGGTGTAGAGTTTGCCGTGGATTTGTACGTAGGCGACTGTGTCTTGCGATGAACCGTCAAAGAAGGCTTGCACAGGCCCACACCCCGGACCCGTAAATCCTGAACACAGCCCTAAACCGTAAACTCCAAACCCCAAGTAGGGAATGCCGACGGGCTCGTCGGCCTTCGCCGTAGGTTGCGAGGGTCTTAAGCACCGCCCACTGCCTAGGCCTTGAGTTTAGGTTTAGGCAAAGGGTTTGGGGTTGAGGGATTAGGGTTTAATATAGGGGCTTTAATAATTACCTGTACTATTTTCGGGGCTCCTCATTATAATATGATTCACACCAAAACCCTACTCGAATTATCAAGGCCCCTATAGTACCCACAGTAGCTGTGTGGCCTACGCCTTGAGTTTAGGACTCAGGGTTGGAGTTTCGAGGTTTGGGGTTTAAGGTAAGGGGTTTCCAGCTCGGCTTGGTGTTGGGTTTCGGATTTCTTCTGTGGGATTTCCCTTCAACCTCTACAAAACCTGCACCGATCGCCGTATTGAAATGAAACTCTCCAAAAGAACCTTGACGGCTGCCGCCTCAGTGCTAAGGGCCCTGTCAGTATAAACTCCGGTGGGACTGCGTAGAGGCTTCACATAGAACCGTTTACATTCTCACTTCAGGAAAAACCATTCTAAAGCCTAAACCCAAAACCCTGAACCACCCTGTAGGATCTTTATATGGAGCCCCCGTGTAGCGCATGTCAACCGCGGAAGGAGATGCAGCGCATGGGCAAGGGCCTGAGAAACATGGACTTTGCCGAGAAGGTGCCAACCCTTATCCGTAAAGGGTTTAGGGTTTTGGGTTGGGGTCGAGGTGCGTGTCAGCTGCTTCTGGCTGAAGACAGTACTTGTAAAATTATGTTCTGGTCTGCCAGGCCGATTAACACTAGCTGTCGCGTTCAGCACATCGTGGATGACCCAAACCCTAAGCCCTAAACCCTAAACCCTAAACTCTAAACCTTAAACCAACTATGCACCTTACTTATATAGCATATGCTTCGGCCTTGAAGTACTCCTTATATCTTCGGGGAAACCTGCTTCTCCGGGAATTGAAGAGGTTGAGGGCCCAGGACAGAATGCACCCCTGAAGAAACAGCCGAGGCAGCCGGATTTGTTTTGTCGCTTTACGGATTTTTCGGGTGGAGGACCCCTGGACAAGAACTCCCTCTAAGTGTTCCCGCCACTATACTCTATACATACTGTTCTACTTTGCTACGCAGATTCTAGTTGTGAAGGCCCCTCCATTAGAACCCTTGTGCTCCCCTACAATCAAAGCCTTAGAAGGTTTTGAGGGCTTAGGGTTCCTTGAAAGGTTCCATACAGAGTTCCTTGAAGAGCTCCTCTAAAGGACCCTAAACCCTAAACCCTAAACTGCCTTCGAGAGGAATCGCTAAAAGGGGTCCCTGAAAACGGAGCTCCCCCAACCTATGGCGAGGTGCACATCTCCACCAACGAGACAGGGGAAAATCCGGCGTCCGCGCCCCGTTTTGTCTGCGGGGTTCAACATAGAAGCCTAAACAACCACCAACATTATTCCTGAGGGCTCCTTCTTTTAAACCCTAAACCCTAAACCCTAAACCCTAAACCCTAAACCCTAAACCCTAAACCCTAAACCCTAAACCCTAAACCCTAAGCTACTCGGTAATGGAGACCAAAACCCTAATCGGGGTGTGCGATGTCAGGCTGGGGGTTCCGGATCTAAGGGCTTCTGCTTGGGGTGGTTGGAAGCGTTTCGCAATTGTTTGGGGTCTTAGAGTTTCGTGGTTTTGTAAATTTTTTTGATTCGTAGGATTCTCTGACATTTGGGTTTTTCTACAGGAGTGTATGAGATTTTTCAGCAGGGGTCTGTGCGGCTGTTGATCGGGTTCGGTGCTTCAGGGTTCACGGCCCGTCGGACGCGAGAGTGTGGGGTTTGATGTCTGAGGGGGTGTTCGGGGTCTTTGGGGGGCTCAGGGCTCAGGTTTCAGGTTAGCTGAGGTTCGGGTCTAGGGCGTCCTGGGTTTAGGCTTTCAGGTTTCGAGTGTGGGGGGGGGGGGGTGTTTGATGTTTGAACCCTGTATAAACCCTAAACCCTATATAAACCCTAAACCCTATATAAACCCTAATCTTTATATAAACCCTAAGCCCTATATAAACCCTAAACCCTATATAAACCCTAAACTTTATATAAACCCTAAGCCCTATATAAACCCCCAGAGGTTTGTGGTATTTCTAGGCTCGGGTTTCCAACAGTTCGCCTCTAGGTCTGGGAGTTCTGTAAAGGTCCCCTTGGAGGGTTCTTGCATCCTTCTTTGGACACCCTTCCTGTAACTCTCTTTGCCCAAGCCATTTTCCCTGAAATAGTAGGTAGAATCCATATAAAACTGTAATTAGAGTCCAAGGTTAGGGCCTTAGATGCTCTAGGAGGCTTCTCCCTTACCGTAGCGAACCAAAATTCTTCTTCACTTTGACCTCTCGCATATGTTCCGACTGCATCCAGTCGTCACTACCTGGGGATCCAGGGCCTACCGCTTTAAGGGTTTAGGGTTTAGGGTTTTGGGTTTAGGGTTTAGGGTTTAGGGTTTAGGGTTTAGGGAGATTCTACCCTCTAATTGAGGGGCCATGACCTACTATTTTATTTTGCAGGGCTTGGGGTCACAGGTAGTCATGCAACCGGCATCCACTGTCTCATGTGATCCTAGATTCGCACATGTTGGCTCGGCTTGGCTTTGGCTGGCTTGGGGTGGGCATGCCCTTGTGCTACTGCGTGCTAGCCGCGCGCGACTTGCCCAGCACTCCCCAGACCCAACCCTGAAGCCCTGAACTCACACCCCGAGACCCGAGACTCCAAACCCCAAACCCGAAACCCCAAAGCCGAAACTCCAAACCCGAAAGCCCAAAGCCGAAACGCCAAACACTAAACCTTAACTTCCAAACCCTAAACCCGAAACCCCAAACCCGAAACCAGAAACTATAAACCCCCCACCCTAAACCCAGGGCGGAGGAGCTTGCTCAGGAGATGGTGAAATGGCCGGAAGCCTCGGTCTGTTGAATGAGGAACAGACGGGTTCCACAAGGGTTTAGGGTCTTGGGTTCTTAAAAATGAGTTTTTCAAGGCTTCTATAAGGGTCATATAATGCTTCCGTTAAGGATTATGCAAAGGTTCTGTCAGTGTTCTACGGGTGAGCGTTTACATCAAAACGACCACGGTAGAGGTTTACATAGGGCTTAGTAGCCGTAGGGTTTAAGGTTGAGAACATAGTGTTTAGAACAGATGCGAAACACGTGGTCGAGAAGTAGGATGAGAGTCTGGTGTTTAGAACCGATGCGAAACACGTAGTCGAGAAGTAGCATTACTGAACTACATGCATACTTGAATGGTCTAAAGTACATGACTATACAGTTCTAGACGTGCATATACACGTGGGTCGTTTCTGTACATGAATCTATGGATGTGTGTATGTATATATATATATATACATACTATATGTATAGCGTTTTGTATATATATATATATATCTACACACACTTTTAAACAGATGAGGCATGTATGTATGTATGTGCATACATACACATATGTATATATATACACACAGATATGCACATATTTGCACTGCAGTTGTGAAAGTGCATTCAAGCTTTTGCGAATCAACTTCTCGCTCAATATCGTAACCATCGCCGTCGACATCAGCATCACCAGTGTAAGTAGCGTCATCCTCACCAGCGTGCGTATCAAAACCATTTTCGTCATCATCATCTTCACCATCACCATCATCAGGTCAGCAGCTTTTCCGGCATCTTCACCATCAACTTCGTCGTCATCCTCATCATCATCTTCATCTTCCTATCATCGTTCTCATCTTCATCATCACCATCTTCTTCCTCAGCAACAATTTGTCAGAACTGCTTCTGCCTTATCACTGCGCAAACATAACTATCCAAAGTGCCCACCCAAAATAAAAGTCCTACGTGCACTCAGCTTTTGGAGTGTGGTTCGCCCGTCGCCCTGTCCTGGCTGCAGAACTTTCAACTTCGAGCCCTGTAAACCAGCGTAACCCCCCAACTCGCCTTGGGCTTTGTCTAGTTTCAGGTTCGAGAGGTGTGCGCAGCTCGAAAAGGAGCTGACCACGAACAAGGCTGGGGCAGTATCCCAAACCTTTACCCTTAAAGCCGTGACCTCAAACCACTTGGTGCGAGTCTTCTACCCAGAGGCATTGTTGAAGGAGCTGGTGTATCGGCCTAAAACGACTTGAGGAGCTTTATGTAGCTCTAGCTGGGGAGTACGTGTAGTGTAGTTCCTAGACCCTACCCTAGTTAGTTTTGATGGACAAAATCCTTACGTATCCACAACAAACAGTATATAACATAATCGCAATAGTTCGAGTTCTTAAGGTATACCATAATCGTAATGAAGGGTTTCGACCATCATCCCTACAACCGCCGGACATTTGGTAGATTCTTCCTGGCAATGAGAGGTACTGCAAAGATCAGAACCACCAGAAGCAAAATGAGCCCTGCGAAAGACATGAACGGTTCAGTTTCAATTCGATTTGCATGCCACTCCAGTGTCTCTTGGGCCCCATGCCCCCCGCTTTGTTTCATCATGAGACTTGGAATGGCCTAATTACAATTGCACTGATGCAGAAGGAGGCTGAAGAGCTAGTTAAACTGAAGAGTTATAGTACGACTATAGACTCCAAACCTAGGGTCTTGGCTTTCCAAAGCTCCCTGATTATCTGCGGGCTGCTCGGAAAGATGGTCCAAAATCAAAGAAGACCCTGAGGAATACTGTTGGTAAGTATGCGGGCTACTAAGCTAGAGGAGGGATGCTCTGAAATGCCCGAGCCTTTGCGAGTTTGACAGGCATGACAGGGCTTTGGGAGCTGTGCGATGCTACTCGCATCGGGTATCGTCTCGAAGCACGAGCTCCGCAGCTCCATCAATATCCATGGGTTTAGGGTTTAGGGTTTAGGGTGCTGTGGGACCGATCACTTCAAGGCTCACCTGACGAATCTCGTGCCAATCGGTTCTGAACTGCTTGCACTGCCTGATGCTAAGATGCCCGCCATTGCGCCTGGCCATTCAGATCCACCACTTCAAGGGTTTAGGTAAAGTTTAGGCTTTGGGGTTTAAGGTTGTGTTTAGGGTTCAGGGTTTAGGGTATCAACTGCAGGGGATGTCATGAAGCGAGTAAGACAGGTTTAGAGTGTTACTTTTCAGTGGAAGTATTCCCATATAGTTCCTATATAGCTCCAATACAACATACTCAGAAGCCCGATTCTAAGTATTCAAGCCGAAAAGCATCAAACCCTTATAATAGACCTTTATTGACACCCCTTTACACTCCTTTAAAGCGAACCCTTCAAGGAACTTTATTGAACATTATTAAAGCACTTTTTTAAAGGCTGATTCAACCCTTATCGACCCCTTTCAAGTTGAAGTCTTAAAAGGATCCCTCGTCTAATTCTTCAGGCCCATCCTTTCAGACCCACAGCTAATCCAGGCCCTTAACTTAGGGGCTGCGTAGGTAACCTGAAGCCTTTTGGGGCTCAAAAAACCCTACCCTAAACCCTAAACCCTAAACCCTAAACCCTAAACCCTAAACCCTAAACCCTAAACCCTAAACCCTAAACCTTAAACCCTAAACCCTAAACCTAATCCTATCCCTTTTTGGGCAAGGCTACTCAGCACCTAAGTTGAAGAAAGAGGCATGTTTTCACTCAGGGGCCTCCGCCTCAACGGCCCCGAACCTCTGGCTTTCATGTAGAAGGACCTCTTTAGGGTACTGGGGTACAAGGGTTTAGGGTTCATTTAGAAATTGTATATTTAGGGTTTAGGGTTCATTTAGAAATTGTATATTTAGGGTTTAGGGTTCATTTAGAAATTGTATATTTAGGTTTTTTTTTTTGGAGTTTAGGGTTTAGGGTTTTGTTAGGCTTTAGGGTCTGGGGTTTAGTCAGGCTTTTGGGTCCAGGGTTTAGTCAGGCTTCAGGGTTCGTTTTGGGTTGGGGGTTTAGAGTTGGGTTGTAACTGGGGCGAAATCACAAAGCCCTAAAGCTGAGATCCCAGGCAACGAACCCTTGAACCAGATAGCCTCACTGCCCTAAACCCTAAACCCTAAACCGTAAACCCTAAACCCGAAACTGTAAATCCTAAACCCTAAACCGTAAACCGTAAACCGTAAACCGTAAACCGTAAACCCTAAACCCTAAACCCTAAACCCAAAGCCCTAAACCCTAAGACAGCCAGGGCGAAGTGGAGAATCTGATGGAAAGACAGGCGCGCGAAGGGAGAGCTTCATTAAGTCATGATGGGGGGGCCGTGTGGGAGTTAGGGTTTAGGGTTTGGGTTTAGGGTTTAGGGTCGGAATCCCGAAATTGCTACCGGTTCAGGGTTAAGTATTACTGTTTAGGGTCGAAATCCCTGAATACTACGCTTTGGTTTGTACTCGTTGAGCTTGCGGTCTCTTCCTGAGAGTTGAAAAGAAAGAAACGGGGTGCCCTTTGTTACTAAGGGCCTCAGCCCGGAGAAATCTGGCCTCATGTTCCAGGCCTTTGGTGTCTTCAGCAGAATCATTACCCTAAGCCCTAAACCCGAAGGGCGGTGATCCTTCCTGTCGCGCGAAACACACTGGAGCTGCTCAGGGTATGGGCAGACTCTCTAATCAGGAGGCGATATAGTTGCCTGAAGATTTTGCACTACTACCTTTGAGGGTTCCCTAGTATCCTTCTGGCACAAAGCCCCTCGCCTGTACACCGTAGCAGCAAACATTGCATGGCCGAAGCCGAAACCCCGAAAAAACTAGACGTTTCGGCGTTGCTGGGTGTCCCGTTCTTCTCGGCAGTTGCTGCTCACAACCCAGATGCTATCGTAGCAAAATGTGGCGCTACATTTGTGCTATTCCAGCAAAGACCACGGTCGAAGTCGACTGCCTCTTGAAGGTTCGGTGCTCAACGTCCTGTAGCCGATACGAGGTCACAAAGCAACGCCGCGAAGCGCCAAACCCATTATACCCCTAAGCCCTAAACCCTAAACCCTAAACCCTAAACCCTAAACCCTAAACCCCTGTAGCGCTGAAGCCTTTCGGGCCGAAGCCCTGTAGACCCTACTTCCCTAAATCCCTGCACCCGAAAACCCTAAGTCCTAAACACCTCAACCCCTACTTCACCCCGAAACCCGCAACTTAAGCAAAGAAAATGTGGAGCCTCACATAGAATCGGACGTACTGCGGCACCAAGGCTCAACCACAGACTGAGGGTTCCTTTAAGGGCTTCTTACGGGCTTGGGGCTGTGGGGTTGAAGGGTTTCAGAGGGTTAAGGGTTTAGGAGGTTTTCAGGGTCTAATTAATGACTTAAGGGTTAAGCCCTAAACCCTAAACCCTAAACTTAAAGTCGAAGGGTTCAGGGCTTGCAGCTCATGGTTAAAGGCTTCGCGTGCTGGGGGATCGTAAATTTTCACTGGCACGCATGTTTTGTACTCACTGAGGAGGTACATGGTTCCCAACAATCTTTTGAGCTGTCTTCTTTGGGGTTTTTAGAATTCTACACTTTTGTGTCGTCTTCATCTGCAGGCCTTTAAGAACAATTCTAGTGTTAAAGTCTTGGCTGTTCTTACTGCAAAAATCCTTAACCCTAAACCCCAAACCCCAAACCCCATTTGTCTTCAACCGAAGGTTCTTTGCAATCCACAAGTCTTGCCCAAGTTGCCGAAGACAGGTGGAGGAGTTGGAGAAGACCCTCGCAAACAAGGCCACTGATGGTTTAGGGTCTAGGGGGTTTAGGGGGTTTAGGGTTTAGGGTTCTGGGCTGCAGGGTCTTTAACTAATTTTCCACACATCTGGTGCCCAGGCACCAAAGTTCATAGTTTTGCTGCCATCCGAACCCTTCCTGACCCCTAAACCCTAAACCCTAAACCCTAAACCTTAAACCCTAAACCCTAAACCCTAAACCCAAAATCCAAAACCCTAAACCCCTAAACTCCACACCCCAAGCCCAAAACTTTCCAACCTGAAACTCTGACCCAAGGTCCTGACTCCTACATCCCGTAATGAATCCTGATCGAACTCTGTTAGTTTCTGCAAAGAGCCGAAGCCTTCAACCCCTGTCGCAAGCGGATATTTCGGAGTCTCTGGTCGCACTGAGTTTTGGGACCTCCCTGCAAACCCTACAGACCTTACAAACACTGAAACTTCTCGAAGCCCCAAGCTCTAGAGCCTAGCACCAACAAAACCCAAACCCCAAAGCGCAGATCGAAAAAGTCCCACACCCCAAGCCGAAATCCCAAATCCTCTAATTCACTCGCAATACTGACAGGAGACAGCGAACAAGAAGCTCGTGACAGGCATCCACAAGCTGGAGAACGAAAAGCAGAGCCTCAGGAGGGGTCAGGGTTCAGGGGGTCCTTTGAAGAGAACCTTGTTCTAGAACCCGGTAGTACCTAAACCCTAAACCCTAAACATCCCTAAACCCTAAAACCTTCTCAGGGGACCCTATTCTAGAACCCTACAGTACCCTTTAAGGGTTCTCCAAGGGTCTGGGGTCTGGTTGTCCAATAAGGGGTACCCTTCAGGATTCCTGTTTGAGGGTTCTATCAGAGCTGGGGGCTAAGGGTCTAAGCGTGTTCTTAGTAAGGCTTCCCGGGAGGGTTCTATGAGCGTCACTGTAGTAGGGGTTTGGATTCTAGGGTTTTTCGTTCTAAGAGGGTTCTAGGCGTTAGATTGGGCTAAGTTTAAGGTTTCGGGCTTCAGATCCTGGGTTTAGCGAACTCGTGTCTCTGTTAGGCTTTTGGTGAATCCTCAGGGTGGCGGTCCAGGAGCTTTGAGTGTATCTTTTGGGGTGTCTTGAAGATATTGATGTAGTAGATTACGGATGAAAAAGGGTGTGCTTTTATCAGTGAAGTTTTCACGGACTGAGTACCTCCAGGCTCTATTGTAGTGCATTTCTGGTTGACCAACTTTATGGAGAAGATTCTGAAAGCTTCTAAACACCAACGCCTAATGTATGATTGAAGCTAAAGCCTTACAGGAAGTGGATCAAGCAGAGACCATACCGAGCAGGTACGAGCTCATGACGCTGCAGCGTGAGAAGTCTGAGCTAACGGAGCAGTCGCTTGTCCAAAACCTAAACCCTACACCCTAAGCCTCTTCATTTTCGGGGTTAGGGGTTACATTCGAAACTTAAAAATCTTGCGCTGTAACCTAACTATGGCTGACTTCCTACATCATTCTAGGGTTGCTTCAATGGTTGAAGGTATATGATTTAAGCTATATTCCTTACAAGGGATCTTTTGAGGATTTGAGGGTCACGGTCTTGAGCTTTTGACTTCGGTCGTGTGAGGGTTCAATCCGATGGGTAATCTATCTAGGTGTAAACCCCAAGCCACAGGACAAAGGGAGCTTGCGGGGACATTGTGCTAGGTTTGCACGACCTGGGAGGCCATACCCAGAACCTTGGGGAACTCCTACCATAGGGCTTGAGTACTGATTCATTCATTCAGATTCTCTAGTCTCTGTATGGTAACCAGGCACCCCCCAAACCCTAGTCTCGACACTAGCCCATTGCCCGGTACCCTCAGTCCAGAAATCCTGTACTTCACGGCCCCGAAATCCTAAAATCCTAGTCCAGCCATGCTCGTCCCGACGAAACCCCACAGGTTCTGACTTGTTGTTGAGATTCGTATGACACCCTTTAGGGTTTAGGGTTCGGGGCTTAAGTTTCGGGCTTATCAAACCCGACAAACCTATGACAAAGCTCACAAAACGCCCTAGCACAGGTCTTTGAACCATGAAGGCGCCCTAAACCCTACACCCCTCAACCCCTAATCCCTAAACCCTAAACCCTAAACCCTAAACCCCTAAACCCTAAACCCTAAACCCTAAACCCTAAACCCTAAACCCCAGACCCTAAACCCCATATTACCCCGAAGAGCCCAGGAACAATCGCATTGCGAAGGAGAGCTTGCCGGTGCCGCGAGCTCAGTGCACTATGGGAAGCCTGGTTTATAGCCGGATTGGGGGTTTTAGGGGGTTTAGGGAGTTTAGGGGTTTTAGGGGGTTTAGGGAGTTTAGGGGGTTTAGGGGGTTTAGGGGGTTAAGGGTGTTTAGGGGGGTTAGGGGGGTTAGGGGGTTTAGGGGTTTTCGGGGGTTCAGGGGGTTTAGGGGGTTTAGGGTGTTTAGGGGGTTTAGGGGGTTTAGGGGGTTTAGGGGGTTTAGAGGGTGTAGAGGGTTTAGAGGGTTTCGGGTGTTAAGGGGGTTTAGGGGGTTTAGGGAGTTTAGGGTGTTTAGGGGGTTTAGGGGGTTTAGGGGGTTTAGAGGGTTTAAGGTGTTTGGGGGGTTTAGGGTGTTTAGGGGGTTTGGGGTGTTTAGGGGTTTAGGGTGTTTAGGGGGTTTAGGGGGTTTAGGGGGTTTAGGGGTTGAGGGTGTTTAGGCGGTTTAGGGGGCTTAGGGGTGTGGGGTTTAGGGTTTAGGGGTTTAGGGTTTAGGGTTCAGGGTCTGTTTTGGCATTGGGCTTTTCAAAAGGGTTTTGAGTAATGACGGAATCATACGTAGTGAGCTCCTTCTGTAGTCCCTATACCATGGGTGCTTTTCTTGTAAGGTACGGCTTTGTAAGGGTTTAGAATCAACAATCGATCAAGCAGTAATGAGAACCCCAAATCAAACCTCTATGCTTTTACTGTAAAGGGTTTACCCTAACACCCTAAGCGCACCGTAGGGTCCTGTATATGTAGCACCTAGCCATCAATTGTGACAACCTTGGTTCCTTCTGGCTTACCCGCAAGTTGAACTGTATGAACTGGAGCAAAAGGGTAGGGTGCTGGATATGTAGTAGCCTTGTTCACTGCAGATCCAAGCGTTCGCGTGACAAGAGCCGCCTCTACTGTTATTGGAAGTTCGCGCGTTGATGCTGACAGCCAACCCTAACCCTAAACCCGTAACCCTAAACCCTAAACCTAAACCCTAAGCCCTGAACCCTGACTTAGAGTGGCAAGTCTTTGTTGTCATGCTGTCAAGCCTACAGCGCAAGACCCTTCACCCTAAGCCTTCGCCACGTTTGCTTCGGTCGGAACTGGCTACTGGGGTTTCGGATAATTAGTACTTATGTCAGTTATTACTTCGGAGAGTATATGATTGCCAGGTACTTGGAGCCGTCGGATATCCCCTAAACCCTAAACCTTAAACCCTAAATCCTAAACCCTAAACTCTAAACCCTAAACGCTAAATCCTAACCCCTAAATCCTAAACCCTAAACCCTAAATTCTAAACCCTAAATCCTAAATCCTAAACCCTAAACCCTAAAATCCTAAACTCTAAACCCTAAAATCCTGAACTCTAAACCCTAAACCCCAAACACTGGACCCCTAAGGCTGGGCTCTTTAGGGTATGTAAAACACCCTACAGTAGAAGCCAGAAAGTTGGAACATCATTATCCCCAGGCCCATGCCCTTAGAGGTAGAGCACAGAGAATCCCAGCAATAATCATCCTAAATCCATGTTCCAAATTTCTGGGGTTCACGATAAGGCAATGTACTATAGGGGTCGGAATTTTACTCCTTAGGGTTCCTTATTATACCTTCCGAAGCCTTGCTGTTCAAGCGTACCTAGCACTATCTTTTTAGTAGCCTTTCGCCAGTATAAAACATCTCCCAAAGCCGCCTTCTCGTTTACCGAGGGATAATACCCTAAACCCTGAACCCTAAAACCCTAAAACCCTAAAGCCCTAAACCCTATAGCCCTAAACCCTAAAACTTGTTTTTTTTATTATTGAGTCCCCTCCAGTAGCTTCTGTAGGTTCCAGGGGGAGATCCCAAGCGAGTGATTGTTCTGGGAGGTGTCAACCCTTTCGATGTCTTGCGCAAGGCCGCCCTTTCAGGGTTTAGGGTTTGGGGATTTTTTTCTGGATTTAGGCAGAGTTTTGGGTGAGTTTTTGTCACTGGTTCAGGGTTTTGGGGATTTGTGTTAAAGGATTTACGGTTTAGGGCTTTGGGTTTCCTCTGTCTGTGGTGGCGCTAAACCCCGAAACCCTGAGCCCTGAACCCTAAACTCTAAACCCTAAACTCAAAACCCTAAGCCCTATACCCTAAACCCTAAACCCTAAACCCCAAACCCTAAACCCTAAACCGTGCTTTTTTGGATGCCCATCCTTACCCGAAGGGGCTTCTAGGGCCTCGGCCTGTTGAGGCTCCTCGGGAACTTTGGTTTAGGGTTGAGTTTTGAGGGTTTAGGGGTTTTAGGTTTAGGGGTTCTGGTTTTTTTTTTTACGTTTTTTTGAGGTTTCAGGGGTTTTAGGGGTTTTAGGGTTTAGGGGTTTACGGTTTAGGGTTTCGGGGTTTAGGGTTTAGGGCTTTGGGGTTTTAGGGTTTTAGGGTTTAGGGTTCAGGGTTTTGGGGTTTCACGGTTTAGGGTTTTGGTTTTTTAGGGTTTAGGGTTTAGGACTTGGATTGCTACCCACCAACCACCAACCCTGAACCTCCAATAAGCCTTAAACCCTTCACCAACCCTTAACCCCAAGCCTGAAAGCTTAAATCCTAAAGTTGAAATCGGGCAGGGCGACCGTGCTAGCGAAAGTCCATTGCACTATAAAAGAACTTAAATCCTAAACCCCCTAAACCCTAAACCCTGAAACCCTAAAACTAAAGTTCAACCCCAAAGGCTGTCTCTAAACCCTAAACCCTAAACCCTTTATGTCATGAATAATGCATGGGCAAGGGAAGCAATGGGACTTTGCCGATAGCCAAGAAGACTGCTCACCGGCCAAATGTCTAGCTTACCACCCGTGCAAATACACACCATTCACTACTTCAGCTCGATACAAGTGCTATTGCAAGGCCCCGGCGTGACAGAACCGGGCTCCTTGATCGATGCTCATGTATTGAATGCAATCCGGCAAAAAGGTGGGTTGCATTGGAAAGGCCCTTGCACCATGCCCTTTGCCGACGGCCACAGGCCCACTGCATGCCCACGTTGTGGCTTCCTAAAAGCAGTTGCGACTGCAGGAAAAACCAACGTTTGCCTGCTTGAAATCGATAAAGAGAACAATGAATTGGCATGGATCGTGGCTTATGCTCCGCATGCCTCTAGCGATTACATCGCATTTGCCTCAACCACTACTCGTACACCCACAAGCCCCGCCGGGAGATGTACGCTACGTTAACGTGGACCCGGTAGTCAATAGCGACGAGGCCAAATACCTAGGATCCCAGGTCGCCTGGCTACACCCCATGAAAGTGGCCATCGACTCCAGAAAACCCAAAACACATGTAGCATATCTAAAGCTCCAAAGCGTATGGCGCAGCAGGCTCAACATTAAAGCTCAAACTAAGCTCTTTATGGCAAGCATCGTGCCAATACTGTTGTACGGCTTAGAGGTCCTCACGTTGGAAAATAAACAGATGCTTGGTTCCACCAGTACCTTCGATTATGTATAGGTGTTAAGGCCTCGTATTATTCCCACGTAACTAGTGAACTAATGAAAAGGGTCTGGAAGGTTTCAGGACGCCCTACCCTGCCGTCGCAAACTCTTCTCACACGACAGCTCCAACAGCTCACAGATATTTTGGTTAAACCGCCGACTGGCCCCCTACACCGACCCCCAGACCCTGTTCTAGTTATGAAGGCCCCTATGCTGAACTCCTGTCTTATATCAAGCATTGTAGAACCTTTATACAAACCCTATTGTGGTTTTTACGGCTCCTAAACTATATACCCTAGACCCCCAAACCCTGAACCTCTAGTCGAGGTGCGGATGATTAACGCTGCTTCTGCGAGACAGAATTCCTCGGAGGAGAACAGCCCAGGTGCTCTGGGTTCAGGGCTTGTTGGTTTGGGGGGCTTTGGATTTAGGGTTTCGGGTACGTGTGTGCGGCTTACTGTTGTGCTAGTGGAACTTTTTGCGCACTGTGGTCTTGAAAGTATTGAGTGTCAGGTTGAGGAGCAGGATCGAAGTGTTCAAAATCAACATGTACAAGTTATGTGATTTCTGAAATTCTAAGCCCTAAACCCTAAGCCGTTTGGGTGTCGCGGGGAGGTTCTGAAGAGCGTGGACAACGTAGACCCTGAATGGCATTCGCTTAAGTGACTATCGTGTAACTTATTCTTTGGACATGGTTTTCATGATATACGACTTATGAAATAAATGGTAAATGACCAAATGGTATATGATTTTTGTGGTGCATTCCCTCAACTAGAACCTGGAGTACGGAATCGCAAGCTGCACCCCATACCCGGAGCCAATCCCAATTTCGAAGCCCTACACCAGCACCTAAACCTTAAGCTTTAAAGCACGCAGCCAACATTGGACCCCTAACCCTGCGTAAACCCTGGCAGACCTGCATGTTTGCGGCTCCTTACTTTTTGTAAGTTCTCACAAGGGCTAGCAGCTTGTTTGAGGTTAAGGTTAACCCCAAACCTAACCCAATGTTTTCTTTGCCTCGCCCTGCCAGTCAACCGCACCTCCAGCCATGCAGAGTTGGCGACCCTCCAGGCCCGCTGGAGCCCCCAAGTTTTGGAAGGGTCCTAGAGTCCTTGAGCATTGTGTATTGCACACAGTCTTTTGGTTTATGCATCATTCTGTCGTCAGGGCGCTGATGACATTTCCAATGGCTTCAGTTCGTGTGGTTTGGAGACTTTCTGGGATCGTACAGGTTTCTGACTGTGATTGTACGTGGCACACAAGGGCCTGTATAGTGGAAACGGGCTTGCGATTTGTGTGCCTGCACAAACAAGCATGGAGAGTCGCACTAGGTTGGGGAACCTTCCGATTCGCACCTCTACCTTGACTTTCGAAGGCTTGCAATCCTTCAGCTTACCCCAAACCCTGACCCCTGAACCCTAAACCCTAGACCCTAAACCGTCCTAAACCGTGAAGGGCCGTGGATGCTGACTGAAGGGCCCCAACTCTACAGCTCTGAAAGGACACAGACGCCACCGCTGCTCACGCGACACCCGAACGGTCCATGTGCCCACATACTTTGTACTTTGGCCTTGAAATACCTAGACCCTCCATCTACCCTCTATTAGACTCGGTTTAGGGGGCTTTAGGGTTTAGGGTTTAGGGTTTAGGGCCACCCTAAATACCCTTAATTTGAGACGGTCCTGGTACTTGTACCGCTTTGAGAACGAAGTGTATAGTATTTCGGTACATGGGCCGAGCAAAACCTTATACAGCAGGCCCTACGAAGACCTTCTGAGCATCCGACTACTTAGGGCCCGTGGATAAAATGTCACAAAACCCTACTAATATAGGGGCCTAAATAATTACTGCTATTCTGGTAGTTCCTTATTCTAATTAATTATTAAGGCCCCGACATTCTATAGCTTGAAAGCCCTGGCCTGCACAGCCCTTAAAGTTAGAGGAACCTTGATGGGCTTTCCGACACTATGCCCTACCCATAGGCCCCATAGTAGTTCCTTTTTGGGATTACCTAATAGGATCCTAAATATAAGCCACAAAAAGGAACTACTATGGGGCCTTTGGGTAAACCCTAAACCCTAAACCCTAAACCCCTATACCCCCAAGCCCTAAACCCTAAACCCAAAACCTAAACCCTGAACCAGGAACTACTATGGGGCCTTTGGGTACAGAACCCCAT